CAGGGAAGGGAGAGGGGGAGAAATTCTTCACCCGATGAAAAGAAAGCAACAACACTGTGCAGGAATTGCTCTGGTCATCAGAATGAACAGGAGACAGGTGTCAGAATCCCCTGGGTGTGCGACGACACCACCTTATGGTAACCCCCACCCCACCCCCAACAGCTCATTGGTTTTTCCTGGCCTGGTTATAAATGCTTCTATCAGACTTGGATAAGAGCCAGCATCTGGACTTCTCTGCATTCCTTCCTGGCTTCTAGCCAGATAACTCTGTCTGTCCACTCTCTAATATCTTGGCCTATTATATGCTTGTCCCATTCCTCTTGGGTCAAACTCCTTCCCCAAAGTTTCCCCTGCATCTGCAATATTCTCATTGCTGTAGGCTCCACCGAGGCCCTTAGCCTCAGCCCTACCAGTGCTGGCAATACAATAACCTAACCAGAATGACATGGCTGGGCTTCAGCTTAGTCATACCTGGATCCCATCTTTCTCTAATGACTAGATAACAAGGTCATGTGGAAAGTTCTTGCAACAATTGCTGCTCCACCCCACGGGCAAGTTGACCCCCCCCCCAATTCTGTTAGCCAAGCACTACCAGAGTGGCAAAAAAGCCAGCCTTGCAGAAGTAGAAAAGCATGCCTCAATTGATCAATTAGCTCATAATAGTTAACCTGGGGCTGGGGAAGGAAGGCTGGGGCAACTCATCACATCCCCAGTTAGAGTTGTAACCATTTCTATGGTTTCTGTACTCGTGTTTTTTTAATGACTTAGTTGTAATGTTTTACTTTGTGAGCTGCCTCAAGCAGGTCTCTGGAGAGGTGAAACATACATTTTCTAAATAAATAAGCAAACAGATATTGAAGCGGTGGCAGAATTAGACAATGAGGAAACCACCTCAATGATCCTGATGAACTCAGAGAAGATGCCAGGCCAAGAAAGGAAGGAAAGCTAGTGTTAGGATAAGCTGTTGCCAACAGTTTGGAAAAACACGTTCAAGGAGGCAGTAGGTGGCCAGGCTTTGCAAGGGCCAATGGGAAGAAAGAGAGGCTGACATAATGGGGTTTAGAAAGATCCTCTGTAAAGTGGCCCCCAATCTCCTATGAAATAACTCAGTGTGTTTATTTACATGTTATATAAGTTGGGCCTACAGACCCTACTGGAAACCTTTCTAGCAGCCATCTTAACAACACTGGCTCCTGGCTCTTCCTTCCAGACTCCACTAGGAGGCAAATGGCCTCTCATCCAAACATTAACTCTTTATTAACTGTATAATCCTTCTTTATACTCTTCACCACAGAAGCATGTGGCTGATGCCCTGCACAAAGTGTCTACAAGAATGGATCTGCCCAGAAGGTCACTCACCTCAAGGACGGAAAGCTCCAGTAGACTCTGAGCAAGCACAAAACCCATCCAACCAAGAATTAACTAGGTGCCACTCAATGGCCTGTTATCTACCTTCTTATGAAACAGGATGGGCCATAAGCTCATATATGGGCTATAAGATTATACGTAGACATATATAAGCACATTTAAAGTAAATGGACCATGCGACAGGCAGAAAGGCTGATGCAGAAATTCTTACAGAACCTTTAAAAAAAAAAGCAAGATGGTTCTCCTTGTGTTTGACATCTCGGGCCTATCTTCCCTACCTTTATGAATTATTAAACACCAGGGAAACTGATTTGTTCTTTTTTGTTACAATCAAGAACAGTTTGTGTGTTTTACTATACTTCCCCCCCCTCCCCCAGCTAAGGAATATAACACCAACAACTCATTAAACATAGTGCTTGCTTTGTGTCAGAGCTGTATATGTGGACTAGGGATGCCAGCCTCCAGGTGGTAGCCAAAAATGAGAGATCACGGTCCATGACAAAAAATAACGAAGAGTCAATAAAGATAAGTTGCAAAAATGTTTACTGTAGAGCAGAACATTTTCTACAGAAATTACTACAGTAAACATTTTTGCAACTTATCTTTATTGACTCTTCGTTATTTTTCTCAACCTCCAGGTGGTGGCTGGAGCTCTCCTGGTGTTACAACTGATCTCCAAGTGACAGAGATCAGTTCACCTTTGGGCTGCCAAGTCCCCCCGGGGGGCGGAAATCCCCCCACCCCAGAGTCCCGTTCCCTGACGCCGGGGAATCGGGCCCCGGGGGGAACCCCACCCCAGCGTGCACGTCACAGGGAAGTGACGTTATGACACCGGGCACGCTGGGGGCGGGGCCACGGCCATACAAGGGAAAACTCTATGGTTTTCCCTTGTATGGTCGTGGCCCCGCCCCCAGCGTGCCCGGCGTCATGACGTCACTTCCCTGTGATGTGCATGAGGCGCGCCGGGATACAATCGAGAGTCCCCCGCCGGCAGGGTAAGTGCCACTTGGCAACCCTAGTTCACCTGGAGCAAATGGCCGCTTTGGAAAGTTTACTGTATGGCACTACAACCCATTGAAGTCCCTCCCCTCCTCAAACCATCCTCAGGCTCTACCCTCAAAATCTCCAGGTCTTTCACAGCCCAGAGCTGGCAATCCTAACTGTGGACGGCAAAGAAAAGGTAATCTGATTGCATGTTGGTATCATCCTCTCCGCTCCCTCCCGTCTTTGCAAAATGTACTCTTGTGTGTGTCTTTTGTTTTTTCGCTGTCTACAACCTGGTACAACTCAGTGAAGGAGCTTTCATATCATCAAGGCCAAGCCTGGACAAACACTAGGGGGGTTGGGAAAATTCACCAGGGAACTGTACCAGATTCCCTTCTTAAAACCATGTCTTTAAATAGAAGACTTCTCACATCACAAACATAATGTGCACAGTTGTTTTTGCCTTCTTGAAACGTGTCCAGGTTTGGCAACAATCGCAGAGATGAAAACAGTCCCTCTCCCCAATGAGTGTGATCCTGGGATTCCACTCAACCAATTCTCATTTATTTTGAATGAATTAGAGCTGAAATTAATTTGCTCCCTGAAATTCTACTAAAAAAATTATCCACAGCAAATTATGATACTGAACATTCATCACAGTCGCTGCACATTTGATTATTTCCCAAACATTCACTGACTGATATTTGTATTGAACATACAAGATCTAATTTCAGTACCAGGGAGTTCAAATGCAGCTATATTTTGGAATTGTGCCATATTCAATTGAAGAGATGGAGTGGCTTGTGCTATTTGACAGGTGACGGTTTCAGAGGTTTCATATTTGACACCTGCTCAAATCACAAGAGATGCCAGCAAGCCGAAGCCTGCACTGGAAAGCCCAGTTATGGGACAGTGAGGACCACCAGACAGAGTGGGCTGTACTTTTGAAAAACTGTGAGTAGAAATGTAAAGCGCCCAAGACTGTAAGGTTAAAACATCATATTCAGATTTCATATGGCAGTTTTGAAGAGCTAAATGCGACTGTTTACCAAATGTCAATAACTTTGCAAATGTTTCCTTTCATTCGATTTCCCTTTATGCCATATATAGCCAAAAGAAGGAGAGGGTGGATGTCCCATACCCAAAACATGTTAGCTGGCCTACGGATGTAAAGCTACTTTCCATACTGAGGAACCATATTCTCTCCTTGTCATGTGGACCAAAAAAAGCAACAAAAGCCCTCAGAAAGAGGTACCCTTTGCAGCTTCCAAAAACAACTCAAAACCAGGCACGTTCCTTAAAATTCATGTTGCTCTTCAAAGAACTTAAAAAAACAACCCAAAACAAGCAAACACAAATTTTCCAGGTTTCTTAGCACCACTAAAAATGTCAACATTTTCAAGTGAGAGAATATTTGCAGATTCCTCTCTCTTTTCCCCTGGCTTACGACAGTCATGAAAATTACAGAGCGAGGATAGATGGGAGAAAATGCAACATCAGTCATGGAACAAACACAAACAACATGTCTTCCCATGGCTTGTTTCTCTTGGAGAGGAAGGAATTAGTCTAGTTAGTCTAGCACGGGGCCACGCGCCAGAACAAGGCCTGCCGGAGGAAGCTGCCCAGAAGACCTGCTCCAGAAGGGCACCAGAAGAACGCCGACATCCGGAGCCGCGGGAGGAAGCCGGAAGCCAGATACCAACAAGCCCGGGGTGCTGGTAGGCAGACACTACCCCATTGACAATGTGGCCCTAGTTGGATGAACTGGAATTTGGAACTATATGTAAACCGCTCAGAGACCGGCAAAAAGGTTAGAGCGGTATATAAATGGAATGTATAAATAAATAAATAAATAAATAAATAAATAAATATTGGCCGCTTTTCTCCCTAACGGGACCCAAAGCAATGCACAACACATAAAAATACAATAAAAGAGACACAATTTAATTGCATCCAGAATCCAATGGGCCAGTTCTCCAAGACCACAGGGCACGAGCCATTGGTTAGAAGCCAAGGTCCTTTGGTGCTTTCCCTTTGGCTTGAATCCAAGGGCTTTGCCTCCCCTGTCCAAGATATATAGCTGAGAAAGGAAGAGCACATGAAGGCATAGCTAAGAAATTGCAGCTGATAGCATTTCTCCTGCCAAATTGCCCTCCCTGCAAAAGCTTAACCCAATAAACAAAACAGCAGAGATAGATACATTTTAGACAGTCGATATGCCCCTCCTTCTATCCTGGAAGGTTTTGGTTTGTCTTTGATTGCTGGTCCAAAGAGTTTGCTACAATTGAGAATGCCACGGAGATGAACAGACAACACCCCTTCACTCAGCAAAGTCCTCGAATCTATCCTCCCCAACAGATATAATTAAACGTTAAGCCATTGGGCTAAAACTTTTTTTAACCTGTCAAGACTGCAGATGGTCTGGTTTTAATCAATCTGATTTCATTCGATAAAATACTCATTAAGTCAATTAATGAGACTTTGGTGTCACGAGCTATCAAGCATGACTTGGTGGGCTGTTGGCTCCCCCCACTACCACACTTTTGCCTTCACTTGGTGACCAATGAATTGATTTAGCAAGTCAAGTAAAATCAGGGGGGAAATAAATCAATGGACATTTTCACAAGGCGAGCTATTTGGAATGTTACCTGGTTTTAGGGGATGTCGTTAGCCATTCTTCATGCTTTTCGAATGTTATTAGATACGCGGCAATTTCCTGGAAGAGAGAAGGAAAAAAAAGCTGGGTTTAGAAACTTTGTGCATTCAAGCAGCTCAGCGCCTCCAAGCCCACTTTCGGAGATCAAGCCTGCAGCCGGTTGTGAACTGTCTAACTTAAAAGAGGTCAAGGAGGGAGTCAACCAGTGCACCAAAGGACAACAGCCACACCACCCAAGGAGGCCTCCTTGCAGTGACAGGCCAAAGTGATACCTTTGAACATTGCTGCCAAGAGTAGTCCTGGGCCCCTAAACAAAGATCATCTTTGGGTTCCAATCATGTTACCAAACTAGGGTTGCCACTACTGGGTTGGAAAATACCTGGAGACTTTGGGGGTGGATCCAGGAGAGGGCGGGGTTTGGGGAGGGGAGGGGCCTCAGCATGGTACAATGCCATGGAGTCCACCCTTCAAAGCCGTCATTTTCTCCAGGGGAGCTGATCTGTCAGCTGGAGATCAGTTGTACAAGTGGGAGATTCCCAGGCCCCACCTGGAGGCTTGCAACCCTATACCAAACCTCGAGCCAAACATTACAGGAAAACAAATCACATGACTTGTCCAACCTCATGGTCCCGAGTAATCAGGACCCCCTGAAATTTTTCTCCTAATCGTCCCCCCACCTTGTTAGTGCTGTTCCTTGACACTCTATGAAGGGCTCCCCTGTCAAGCTTGCTCATTGTTCAGAGCAACTAGGAGCCACTGCCTTCAGCTTGCACTCTGCGTGCTTTATTTTGCCTTGATCATCTTAAACAAAGGTACATCGGACCCTGGCAGGGTTTGCCACCTGCCCCTTGAACCCTCTTCTATGAAAACCACTGCTTTAAATCACCAGAATTATTTTTTTAAAAAAACAAAAACAAAACACCACTTTGTTTAGAGACGTGTGTAACTAAAATACTACAATTGCCGTGCAGCTCACATTAAGGTCACTGGTTCACTTGTATGGCTTAAGATAAACTGCGGCTTTATTTGATTCGTCTTTTAATGCCAGTTTTAATCAGCAATGGCAAATGTTAAATAGGAAGCTAAGAGCTCACAGAATGCTACTTGAACAGTTTTAGGCTATTTTGGTTCTTTTGGATTCTCAGTCATAAGAAGTGTGTGTGTGTGCGTGTGTGTGTGAGAGAGAGGGGGGGTGGATGACGTGGCAACTCTCTTGCAATAACTCACAATGAGGCCTGGGTAACAAGCAAACATAGTTAAATAGTTAAAATGCAGGTGATCAAGTAAGTTAATTCAGTCTGTATTCATCTAGCCCTGCTTCTCTGCAAATAACAGATAAATGAACTTGGGGGGGAATATCAGAAATTAGTCTTTGTGTTGATGGGCTTTCAAATTTGCAAATACTTTGGTCAGATCTAAAGTCTTAACCTGCCATCAAGCGAGACAACAGAAACTGTCCCAGTCACAACACTCACAATGACAGTTCTTTGGAATTTAAAGTCATGCCAGCTAAAGCAGAAAGATGCCAAACCATGGCTTCCTCTATAAAGCTAATTAAATATCTATTCATCCAACCTTATGACATGCAATTAGAATGACCAGCCTTATCACTTTTCAGTTCATATTGCAGGGGATGGCCTATAAAGCCCTAAACAGCTTGGATTGAAGACACCACCTCTGGTTTTGGTTTGCAAATATTGGAAAACTTCAGTCCCTGGTTCAGATAGATCAGGAACATTCTTTTAAGTATGCCATCTACATTCCAGGTCAGCAGCACAAAGACATACACAGAGAGACATTCACACTAGGTACCCTTCAACTTCCTCTGTCATAAGGAAAGTCTGCTGGATCAGGCAAATGGTCCATTTAGTTCTGCACACTGTTCTACATAGTGGCCAACCAGATGCCCCAAAGGACCTAACAAGCAGGGACATGGAGGTCAAAGCATCTGTATGCTGTTGCCACCCTGTAGCTGGTTTTAGAAGGTACACTGCTTTTAAGGATCAATGTTCCTTTTGGCTAACCTGGCTAACAGCCTGGCTAAACCTCTCACCCAAGAATATGTCTAGTCCCTATATCAGCTACATCTTATAGCAGCAAGTTCTGAAATTAATTATGTTTTGTGTGATGTCCTGTACTACTGCCCAGCAACTAAACTGCTCAACCTGAGTGTGTACAAAATCTTAAATCTACTTTCTCCACACCTTTTATAACTTTATAAGCTTCTATTATGTGCCTTTACCTCTAAAGAACCCCAATTTTTACAAACTTCCTACTTAGGGAAGGTTTTCCTACCCCTTGATCATTTTGTTTGCCCTTTTTTTGCAAAGGGGTGTTGAAAGACCTGAGGGGTGTTGAAAGATGTGAGTCAGATTGAGGTGATGAGAGAGGAGGTCTTAGGACTGATAGAGAACTTAAAAACTGATATCACCAGGCCGGAATGGCATACATCCAAGAGTTCTGAAAGAACTCAAATGGGAAATTGTGGATCTCCTGACAAAAATATGCAACCTTTCATTAAAATCTGCCTCCATTCCAAAGGACTGGAAGGTAGCTAATGTCACTCCCATCTTTAAAAAGGGTTCCAGAGGAGATCTGGGAAATTACAGGCCAGTCAGTCTGACGTCGATACCAGGTAAATTGGTAGAAACTGTTATTAAGGAAATAATTAGTAGGCATTGTTGATGAACAAAAACTATTGAGGCAGACTCAGCATGGGTTCTGTAAGGGAAGATCTTGTCTCACTAACCTGTTAGTGTTCTTTGAGGGGTGAACAAGCATGTGGACAAGGGGGACTCAATATATGTTGTTTACCTTGACTTCTAGAAAGCATTTGATAAAGTTCCTCATCAAAGGCTCCTAAGTAAGCTAAATAGTCACGAGATAAAAGGACAAGGAAATAGTGAGTATAAAGGGGCAATTTTCTCAATGGAGAGATTAATAGGAAATAGAGAGTGACTATAAATGGGCAATTTTCTCAATGGAGGGTGGTAAGCAGTGGGTACCACAGGGATCAGTACTGGGTCCAATGCTTTTTAACTTGTTCATTAATTAATTGGAGTTGGGAGTAAGTAATGAAGAGGCTAAATTTGCGGATGATATGAAATTGTTCAGGGTGGTGAAAACCAGGGCAAGTGGGCATCAGTGTGGCAAATGGGGTTCAATGCAAAGTGATACATATTGGGGCCAAAAATCCGAACCATAAATACACGTTGATGGGGTCCGAATTGGCAGAAACTGACCAAGAGAGAGATCTTGGAGTCATAGTAGATAATTCACTGAAAATGTTGAGACAGCGTGCGACTGCAATAAAAAAGGCCAACACTATGCTGGGGATTATTAGGAAGGGAATTGAAAACAAATCAGACAGTATCATAATGTTCCTGTATATATAGATTCTGTGACCTCATTTGGAATACTGTGTACAGTTCTGGTCATCATACCTCAAGTAGTTTCCGCAGGGCCTGTAAGACGGAACTCTTCCACCAGGCCTTCAACTAGGACCACCACTACCACCAACTATTATTACATCAATATTTGTGGTTAGTGGACTGGCTCTGTATGGAGATCAGACCAAAATGCCATGGAAGGCCAGAAGACCACTAAGTCGGGATTTAGTATGTCATCTTTAGTATGCCACCTAAACTTACTGATGGATAATTGTTGTGAGCATCTTAAATGTCATTGTATGATTGTTTTAACTGTTTTATGTTTACCGGCCATACTATGCCGCTTATGTGAGCCGCCCTGAGCTCATCCGCGGGGAGGACGGGATATAAATATAATAAATAAATAAATAAATGGATATTATAGCACTGGAAAAAATGCAGAAAGGGGCAACTAGAAGAATAAAAGGGTTGGAACAGTTTCCCTATGAAGAAAGGTTAAAGAGCTTGGGGCTCTTTAGCTTGGAGAAACGATGACTGAGGGGTGACATAATTGGGGTTTACAAGATTATGCATGGGATAGTGCAAGTAGAGAAAGAAGTACTTTTCTCCCTTTCTCACAACATAAGAACTTGTGGGCCCTCAATGAAATTGCTGAGCAGTCAGGTTAGAACGGATAAAAGGAAGTATTTCTTTACCCAAAGAGTGATTAACACATGGAATACACTGCCACAGGAGGTGGTGGTGACTACAAGCATGGACGGCTTCAAGAGGGAATTAGATAAACATATGGAGCAGAGGTCCATCAGTGGCTATTAGCCACAGGATGGCCCTGTTCATACGAGCCCATTTGGGCCGGGAGCGGGACGGAACGGGGGCGGAGCAAACCGGGCATCCCCGGCTCCTGGCCGAACTGCGCATGTGTGAGCATGCGCAGTTCGCCAGGCTCCCCTTCCCACCGTCGCGTTCTCCCCGGCATCTGATCGTGCCGGGGAGTGTTGCGACGCGGCTCGGGGGGTCTGTGAGATCCCGCTGCGCCGTCCCAACTTTGCTGCGGCTCACTTTAGCCGCGGTACTAGCGTCTAATTCCCTGCCGTATGGCAGGGACCGATATAGATAGGAACTCTCAGTCTGGGGCAAGTGATGCTCTGTATTCTTGGTGCTTGGGGGGGGGCAACAGTGGGAGGGCTTCTAGTGTCCTGGCCTGACTGGTGGACCTCCTGATAGCACCTGGTATTTTTGGCCACTGTGTGACAAAGTGTTGGACTGGATGGGCCATTGGCCTGATCCAACAGTGGCTTCTCTTATGTTCTTATGTTCTTTTTTGCACCCATCTTGAGATACTGTACAGTATCCCATATGCGGCTGCACCATAGATCTGTGCAAGTACATTACAATACTGCCTGTTTTGCTTTCCAGTCCATTTCCTCATACTCTTTAGCACAGAATTTGCTTTTTTCATAACTCTGGTACCAAGTCAACATTATCACTAAGCTACTCACCAGGATCCCAAGATCTTTTTCCATCTCAGTCACTGACAGTTCAGACCTGCTCAGCATACAGGTTAAAAAGATTTTCTTGCCTCACTGTGCATCGCTTTATGTGTGTTATGGTTTGTCAAGCCAGTTCCAACTTATGGCGAGGCTATGAATTAATGACATCCTCCAAAACATC